CCGGATGCACCCTCCCCCTTGTTTAGCAATCATGTGATTTTCGCGCATTGCATGCCCGGAACTCGTGGCAAAACAATCCAAGTACCGCATCAAATGCAAGCATTTGCAGCACCGCAAAACGTTCATTCTCCGGTTCCAAACCTTCTTGTTTTTCTTTGCCGCACAAAAAGGAATGTACAAAACAAAAGGAGAACAATGCTGGTCCGTACAAAGACAGACTCGACGAAAAGTCAAAGAAAAGATACGAGGAAAAAATCAAAGGAGTGAAAGGGTCAGACCCTTACGAGCACACAGAGGGACAAAAGACGTTAGCATGCTGCCCAACTTTCACCACGCTCAGATTTATAATTATACGGTTCTTGGAGTGAGTGCATACACTCATGAAGTTTAGTAACTTCAGGTCACTGCAACAAGCCCAGGTACAGTTTACCGACGGATGGGTACAGGACCTTGAAACGCACCGTGTAGAAAGTAAAGACCATCGTACGAACAAAGGTAAGTTTACCAGTCTCACAAATCGTCGTCATAAATACACATTCGTTAACAGTTTATTAATAGGACCTTTGAGCTCAACGGTAATTAATTAGCAGTGGAAATAATTTCTGGTAGCATTACAGAAATGTAGCAGTGACAATAATATTGTATGTTGTAATCGTACTGGACAATTAGTGATACAAAACAACTGTTTTATCCTGTGAATAAAAGTATATGTTTTTGTAAATGTACCATAATAACAGAAGCGAAACACAATATTGTGTCAGGACAATTCACTATTTATGCACAATAAATAAAGGAGCATAGTGCAACAATTTCTGTTCAGCGCCAGACTTGCTTGTAACCTATATCACCAATTATGTTAAGAAAAATGACATATTAACTACAACAGAAGACTGACCTTTGTGGGAATGCTTGGAGCAGACTAACCTGTGAGCTGGAGTGTTCTGAGACGTTATATTTGGTATATCCAGACCATCCGTTGGCTCTTACTTCGGAAACATGGCTTAAAAAATTTCTCTTCAACGACGTAATCCGATAAAAAAAACGATCTCTTTACCCGTCGGCTTCCCGTGGCTGTCATGCGACCGGCTATTGCAGTTAATAATACAACAGCTTCTTGCCATTTTTTGGGTTTCTTTTTATTGCTGTGTAACTGAGTTCAATTGAAAGCCTGCGTGCGCTAGTACCTCTTGCCACAAGTTCCCAGAATCCTTTGCGGTTTTACCCCTGATTGACGTCACATTTTCAATCTTTATCCTGGTGGGCCGGTCTCTAGTCAAAATGCCCGGGCCGATTTTTTGTCCCAGTCCAGCCTTGCTTTTGTGCTTGGGTTTTTTTTGGTGTTTTTACAATAAGGGGTATGGTTTAAGGATAAAGTGAAAAATATTTATTAATATGAAAATGTAAAATGTATTTATATATATTTTTATTGAAGTTGATGTATTATATAATGTGGTGGAAGGTCAGGATTTGAGAACTCACCTGTTAATAGAATAATGCTTTAACCTGTGACAGCTGAAAGTATTTAAGACTGTCAGTTGTTATTAGATGCAATGTTTGTGAGCTGTATGGTAAATAAATACCTTGTTCAACTATACTTGTCTTGGTCTGCCTCATAATAAATCCAGCCGCAAAAGGCTGCCCTATTACACTGCACATGTCACATGACAATACAGTTACAGGGGGATTCGGAGTGTGGTCCTGTGATAAATGCTGCAATTCCACTGTAATTATATGATATTTCAATTATTCTCTTTGAATTGGCATTTTAAATATATTTATGCACAAATACTTAACAGTAGGTACACTGGAATAAAGGGTTAGCAAGTCGTTTTCTTACAGAGAAAATACAAAAAATGATTATAGCGACATAACTTTTAAGTAATGTGTAAATAAGTTAACAGAAAATAAGAAATATACATTATAAGTTTTATATATCTTAATAATTATAGGATACATTTAATTTTACACATACCTTTGGTCAAAATGACAAACTGATGAAATACAATAAAAAAAGTTTGATGCAACATAAAAAAGACAGGTTTCTTTTTCTCATCATGCAACAAAACAGACCCACATCATGTTTTAAGACAACAGAAATCATTTAAAACTATTAAATTTTGTTATTTGAATTCTTTTGGCAGCAGAGAAAGACTGGACCAGGGTGGTCAAAGCTCAAAACATGATCTTTATTTTACATTCCCGGGAACGGAGACCTGAACACATGAACACACGCTCAGGTCTGAAAGCAGCAGCAGCCAACATGGTCATATATATATATATATATATATTAGGGGTGCAACGATATTCGTATCGATATTGAACCGTTCGATACAGTGCTTTCGGTTCGGTACGCATATGTATCGAACAATACAACATTTGTAATTTATTTTATCAATTTTCCTTCTGACGATGCTGTCTGTGTTGAGCGCTCAGTGAATCTGTGTTCGACTACTCCGCCTAGGCTGCACTGTCCAGCGCAGATCCACTGAGCGCTCAACACAGACAGCATAGTCAGAAGGAAGAGCGCAGGGCAAGCTAGCGAGACAGAAGTTAAGCTCTCCTTTTAACATGGACCTCCCCCACTCTCATTCAGATCTGGCGTTTGGAATTATTTTGGTTTTCATGTGACGTATGACCCTGAAGGTAAGCGAGTCATGGACTAAAGTAAAACAGTATGTTGGATGTGCCATGCAATGCTCAATTACATTGGTGTGAACTAGTGTGTTAGCGCAGTTAGCTCGTTAACGTGTTGGCCGTCTAGCCCCATGCACGGAGCGATCGGCGGTAGCTTGTTAACGGAGATTTGCCGTGTTGTGGCGCTAAGGTCATTTCAACGAGATTAACCTGAAAGCACTAGTGGGAACACAACGAATATGACTGCACATTTACGCCGACATCATCCTAGTGCAAAGACAAGTGGAAGCAGACAAAAACAACAAGCATGCTACTAACTTTAGCCGAGTCATTTAGACAGCTGTTAGCACATGATTCTCCTTATGCTGCTGAGAATATAGCCCAGAAGAAGCGGATAGTATAGCTTTTATTTTGGAAAGAGACATTTCTCTGTAATAAACTCTCTTTTCCAAAGATGAGTGATTCCTCAATCAGATACAGGGCTTGCAATATCGCTAGCCGACGTCCCGGAGCTAGCGATTTTTTTCAGTCGGGCTACCAAAATCTATCTCTTCCGCAGGTGTGCATTCACTGTCAAAATAAAAAACACGCACAAGGGTTAGGGTTAAATTTAAAAACTGTACTTTTGAGTTAAAATATATATTTATAATTTTAATAAATGACAAATTAAAAATGCTTGAACATTTTTTTGTATCGAAAAAATATCGAACCGTGACACCAAAGTATCGAACCGAACCGAACCGTGAATTTTGTGTATCGTTGCACCCCTAATATATATATATTTCTGCAGCACGTCACACACTCTAAGTTTGCATCAAAACACTCTGCTTAGTTTCACTTTCTGTCTGCACCTCCTGTGCTGCAACCTAGTTTACACTCAAATCCCAACAAAACACATTTCACCACATTTCAAATAGCTACATTAGAGAAACAGCGCTGCATTGACCTCACTAATTATCATGATGAACAGCCCACTAAACAGCAACAGGTCTTTCAGATTGACCTAGAAGGCAATCTGTTCAGATGCTCTGCTTCTCTTTGTGATCACATGATGACAATAATGCTTGGTCTGTAACATTACATAGATGTTTGCACAGAACAGATAAACTCAATGTTTGCATGACTTTAACGTAACAAAGTTTTCCTCAATTTGATCTTCAATGAACAGTTTGTTTTGTGAGGCGTGCATAGATCTCTAAGCCTTTGTGCATTGTGGCCTTTTATTAAATTCCGTTTATAGTTCTGCTATACATCACACACACATAGTTTCGATATAAACAACTCCTTCTGTGTTACTAGTTCCGCTTTTCTGTCTGGTTTCCTGTGTTTTATTAATATGCCTAAGCAACTCTACCCTAGCTTCCTGTTTTTTAACTTCCCCTAACTGAAGTCTCTGTTGCCAAGGCGACCAGTCACCCTCTGACCTAGTTTTCCTCACAGACCTTACTACAAAGTACAAAAAAACAATATAATCAGAAAATAAGAATATATTTTTATTAACACTCTTAATCATGGGTTTAATTTAGTAAAGTAAATATGGTAAATAGACTGGTTCTTATATAGCGCTTTTCTACTCTTCTGAGCACTCAAAGCGCTTTACACAACTTGTGCATTCACCCATTTGCACAAGCACATTGTTCTAAGTGCTTTCTAAGTAACATTCACACACATTCATACTCCGATGGATGCATCGGAGATCAATTTGGGGTTAATATCTTGCCCAAGGATATTTGGCATGCAGACCAAGGGAAGCCAGGAATCGAACCACCAACCTTCCGATCAGTAGATGCCTGCTCTACCGCCTGAGCTACAGCCACCCCATTAATAATAGCCATTACATTTATGAAACAACAATCAGGAGTTTCTGAAAAGACCATTTGATTAAAAATCAGAAAATGTAAGAAACTAATATCAACAATTAAGACAAAGTCTTTCTACATGCTGGCTGCCAGCTTAAGATGGGCATGTTATTTCCCTTCCCTTCATTCCTCTTCTCTCCAGAGCACACCTCCACCTCTCCAGGTTCTCTTACTACTGATTCCTATTCCTACTATAGATTACAATATCATCTGCAAACAACATATTCAACAGAGACTCTTAACTGACTTTGTATGTCAGTCTGTCCGTCGCTACTGAAAACAAGAAGGGCTCAGAATTGATGTAATCCCATCCCCACCTTCAACCCATCTGTTACTCCTTCAGCCATTCGGGAGGGGCTCAGAGTCGCAGAGCCGCTGCTCCTCCACATCAAAAGGAGCCAGTTGAGGTGATTCAGGCATCTGACCAGGATGCCTCCTGAGTGAGGTGTTCTGGGCCTATCCCACTGGGAGGAGGCTCCGAGGCAGATCCAGGACACACTGGGGAGATTATATCTCTCGGCTGGCCTGGGAACGCCTTGGTGTTCCCCGCGATCCAGCCCGCGATCCAGCCCCGGATAAAGCGAAAGAAGATGGATGGTTGATTGGGGGGATCAGTTGATGATTTATTAACCTATTCTTGAGTGCAAAAGTCTTTCCACACTGATCACAGCTGAATGGTTTAAATCCAGTGTGGATAAGCTGATGTTTTTGTAAGCTGCCATCCTGAGTAAAGGTCTTTCCACACTGATCACAACTGTATGGTTTAAATCCAGTGTGGATGACCTGATGTTTTTGTAAGTGACCATTCTGAGTAAAAGCCTTTCCACACTGATCACAGCTGAATGGTTTAAATCCAGTGTGGATAAGCTGATGTTTTTGTAAGCTGCAATCCTGAGTAAAGGTCTTTCCACACTGACCACAGCTGAATGGTTTAAATCCAGTGTGGATAAGCTGATGTTTTTGTAAGCTGCAATTCTGAGTAAAGGTCTTTCCACACTGATCACAGCTGAATGGTTTAAATCCAGTGTGGATAAGCTGATGTTTTTGTAAGCTGCAATTCTGAGTAAAGGTCTTTCCACACTGACCACAGCTGAATGGTTTAAATCCAGTGTGGATGAGCTGATGTCCTTTTAAGTTACCTTTAGAAGTGAAAGACTTTCCACACTGATCACAGCTGAATGGTTTAAATCCAGTGTGGATGACCTGATGTCCTTTTAAGTTACCTTTAGAAGTGAAAGACTTTCCACACTGATCACAGCTGAATGGTTTAAATCCAGTGTGGATGACCTGATGTTTTTTTAAGCTGCCACTCTGAGTGAAAGTCCTGCCACATTGATCACAGCTGAATGGTTTAAATCCAGTGTGGATGACCTGATGTCCTTTTAAGTTACCTTTGGACGTGAAAGACTTTCCACACTGATCACAGGTGAATGGTTTAAATCCAGTGTGGATGACCTGATGTCCTTTTAAGTTACTTTTGGAAGTGAAAGACTTTCCCCACTGATCACACCTGAACGGTTTAAATCCAGCGTGAATGAGCTGATGTTTTTTTAAGTTGGCATTCTGAGTAAAAGCTTTTCCACACTGATCACAGCTGAATGGTTTAAATCCAGTGTGAATGAGGTTGTGTTTTTTTAAGCCATCACTCTTGGTGAAACTCTTTCCACACTGATTACAGCTGAATGGTTTAAATCCAGTGTGGACGAGCTGATGTCTTTTTAAGTTGGAATTCTGAGTAAAAGCCTTTCCACACCGATCACAGCTGAATGGTTTAAATCCAGTGTGGATGAGCTGATGTTGTTTTAAACAACTATGCCGGGTGAAAGTCTTTCCACACTGATCACATGTGAAGCTTTTGTCCCCACTGTCAATGCTCTGGCGTCTTTTGGGCTGCTTCATAGTGGTAAAAGTCTTTTCCATCCGGTTCACAACTGGTTCATCTGTACTTGCTGGAACTGGTTGGTTTTTGTTTTCTTTGATGCTTTCCCTTCTTTTGCCTATAATGACAAAGAAACAATGACATGCGGTTATAGAATGACAAAACCTACAAAGTGTACAGATTATGACACATTCTTAAAACCTTAATTCAGTTTCAGTTTAACATCGTTAAAAGGTTAAAGAAAACGTATATAGAGACACATTGTAGACACAAACAGAAGACATTAAATATATGAAAAGAGATGTGTGAATTATTTAGCAAAGAAAAAAGATAAATAACTCTAAATATATCTTATATTTTAGACATCTAAAAGTAGCCACCCTTTCATTTGTTGACAGCGCTGCAATCCCTTGGCCTTCTCTCAATGAGCTTCATGATGTAGTCGCCAAGCGCAGTCGCAAAAAAACATCAATCGCTAACAAACAAAAAAGTGGCTCACATGGTGACCATCCCAGGAAAGGAAGACCAAGAGTCACCTCTGCTGCTGACGATAAATTTATCTGAGTCACCAGCCTCAGAAATCACAGCACCTCTGGTTAGAGCCTAGAGAAATGCCACACAGAGTTCCAGTAGCAGAAATATCTCTACATCACCTGCTGAGAGGAGACTTTGTGAATCAGCCCTTTATGGTCAAATAGCTGCTAAGAAACCACTACTAAGGAAAAGCAACAATCAGAAGACATTTGTTTGGGCCGAGAAACACAGGGAATGGACATTAGACCAGTGAAAATCTGGTCTGATGAGTCAAATTTTGAGATGTTTGGTTCCACCCACTGTGTCTTTGGGCGAAGCAGAAAAGGTGAACGGTTCACGCTGTGAAACATGGAGGAGGTGTGATGGTGTGGAGGTGCTTTGCTTGTGACGTTGTTGGGGATTTATTCAAAATTGAATGCACGCTAAACCAGCATGGCTACTACAGCATCCCGCAGCAACATGCCGCCCCATCTGGTTTGTGTTTAGGTGCACCATCATTTATTTTTCAACAGGACAATGACCCCAAACACACCTCCAGGCTGTGTAAGAGCTAATTTGACCAAGGAGAATGATGGAGCGCTACGCCAGAAAGCCTGGACTCCACAGTAACCCGACTTAAACCCAATCGAGATGGTTTGGGATCATATGGACCAAAAGGGCTAGAAAGTACTCAAGACTGTTGGAAAACCATTTCAGGTGACTACCTGTGAAGCTCATCAAGGGATGCCAAGAGTGCGAGGCAGTAATCAAACCAAAGGGTGGCTAGAATCTAGAATATAAGACATGAGTTATTTTCATTTTTTGTTTACTTCCTATTTCCATATTTCTTCATTTATAGTTTTGATGCCTTCAGTGAGAACCTACAATGTAAACAGTCATGAAATGAAAGAAAAGGCATTAAATGAGAAGCTGTGTCCAAACATTTGACCAGTGCTGTACTAAGATAGAAAGACAAACAGTACACTTGGCTCAACCTGGCTGCAGCGCCGTAAAGAAACCTGATGTTGTTCCTTACTTACTAAGATTTCATTACTTTCAAGAGGGCTTTTACTTTTCCATGTCAAAAGAAGATCTTCTAAATTAGTCTTCAGTGTAGGTGTACTTATAAGTTCTTCCAGGGAGTCGAGATTCTCTGATTTGTTGACTTCTTTTTCAGAGCAGCCACATTGTGCAGAGGATGTAATGCTATTAACAAAAGAAGCTCTATGCGATCATCAGATGGAATAAAGTAAGCGACAGAGGATAAACAGAAGGTACAAGCGAAAACACAAATTAGCTAAGAGAGAAACCCTGTAGACAATGATGGAGTTAGGCAACCAATGCAGTTATAATTTACTCACTGTGGATCCCTCTCTGAGTAACCCGAATTAAAGATCCACCAGGAGAGAAGGAGGCAAGCGTGCCGATTTTGTAATTAGACTACGACGAGTAGAGAGAGTGGGCTCACTTACATCCTCTTTCCGGCATGTTACTCCCGTCAGTCAGCACGAGTACACGTTCTTTGTTTACAACGATCAACGAGAGCGTATATCTTTCCAATCACACATCAGAAACAGAAACGCGATCTGCTGGAGACCAGAGGGGCACAGCCACACGATCTTTGCCTTAGACGGCTTAAAAAACTAAAGGTCCTCGTGGAAGATAAAACGTTTGATGACTGTAGTTATACTCTTACTTCCTTACGCCTACGTTCTGCTTTTTACAAGCGCTTCTACTTCTTCTTGTTTAATGTCGATTGGCAAGCAACGTTTCTGGTGCATTACCGCCACCACCTGCACAGGAGTGTTGATAGGGGACACTAACTTCCTGCGAATTCTTTCATCTTTACTGTTCTGCCATCTTCACTTGATTTTTTAAATTACTGTTTCATTTCTCCTTTAGTGAGTAGTATCATTATATCAATTTGACTGCTTTATGTAGCTTGTTTTGCATATTTGCGTTCCAGCTCTAAAATTTGAGGCTCCCCCATTGGCCCCTCCCGTCAAGATTGTCTTATGCTTGTTTTCATTTTAATAAACGTGAACAGCAGAGAGAGGAAGACACACTACAAATCAGATGAAACAATACATTGTAATTTTTCCTGCATATACAATTTTACAGTCATTCACACCATGCCACTAATAACCAGCTCGCAAAGTAAAACATAATAAAAACAAACCAACAAACACAAAACACCAGAAATTATGATAAAGACTTATAATTGGCACAATTTGTGTTTTCTAAATTCTATTACACACATATACGCAAAAAGTGAACGCAAGGGCCCTCAGTGCCCCTGCTTGCTGCTGCTGCGCTGAAGTCTCAAACACAACCTGTCAAAAGGGAAAGGGGGCACCCAAAGAAAGAACATTTCATTCATAATGTTTTCAATCCAAGCCCAGTGTGCATTGATTATTTTTTGTGGTTTGTGCGAAATCCCAGAAAGAAAATAAAACCCTATAAAATGGTCAAGGTCTATTAGGTTATGTTATGGTGATTCTCGGGTTGAGTGTCATCAGATGCTCAGTATAGGAAAAAAAAGAAAGGAGAGGAGAAGAAACGAGCAAAACATCAGATGTGTCATCGGATAATGGTAGGTATGGGGCGTTAAATGGGGCATTTAAACTTCATTTCATTTCATTTCAAAACAGCATTAAGACCGTGGACCAGACCTTTTATTAGAAATTCAATAAATACTGGCATTAATAGGGATACACTCATTTCCAGCTGGTGGCGATAATGCTCCAATAAACGAAGAAGAAGAAGACGTGCCAGTCATCATAATTGTTATTTTCCATGGCATTTTTTCTTAAGCGGGTTAAAACCATCACCTTTGTCTATCTGTATCTGAAAGTGCCACAGGACTAGGGCTGTCCCAAACACACTATCAGTTGTGCTCATCTTGCTGATGTATTCATGGATGTTTGTTGTTTCATCCTGAATAGTGGTTCTGACACTGCAGCATCCTTCATTTCATTTAGTGTAAAGTCTCAGAGTGCTGGATTTGGATTGAAACTTTCCATACATGTTAAAGAGCTTTCTTATCTTGATGCCAGTGGCTTCTTTCTCTTCTTTTAGCCTACTGATTATCCCAGCAGAGGTACAGGTATTAATTGCCTGGATCCTATTCTTCCCATTCAGCTAACAACAGGCCATCCTTCAAAAGTCTTTGCCTCACTGTGTGTGAAGATGAACTCACACCTGCCTGCTGCCATTCCTGAGCAACTCTACACTTGTGGCACCCATATCCCGCAGCTGAATCCTGTTTAGGAGACCGTTCTAAGCCTTGCTGGACTTTCTTGAGCGCCCTGAACCTTCTTGACAACAATTAAACCTGTTTCTTAAAAGTTCTTGATGATCCCATAAATGGTCGATTTAGCTGCAATTTTAGTAGCAACAACATCCTTGCCTGTGAAGCCCTTTTTATGCAACACAATGATGTTGCATTGCAGATAACCATGGTTAACAGGAAGAACAACGATCTCAAACATAATCCTCACTATTATTCTAACTCAGTCAGCATAACATAATAATCTTCAGCCTTGTGCTCGTCAACATTCTATTGTTTGTATTGTTTGTTTATTGAAATTATCTCAGCATGTCTTTTTATGGTAGTGATAAATGCAGTGGAAATAGGTTTTTTGGGATTAAGTTCATTTTTATGGCAAAGAACTTTGCAATTCATCTGATCACTCTTCTTAACATTCTGGAGTATTTGGAGGATTTTCCTTCATTCGGCAGAAACTGCTTCTTTGTGCTACCTGATGCTCATGGCGTGTTTTACTGCCTTACTTTCAGTTAATGTATTTTGTTTTGCACTATGCATATTTTATATGCCATTAGGTCATTTATTGTGAAAATTCTCATGTAGGAACTATTGTACTGCATTTTCGTTCCACTGGTGCACCTGAGGGAGATGCACGCCCATGTTGATGTGTGAGCATGGCAAGTTGAAGCAAGAGACGCCAATTTAATTCTGAGAAAGTTGTTTCTTAAAGTATCTGTAAAGTGCTCATTTCTGCCTCAAAGCATGGGTCAGCCAGCGAGGTATGTTTGTATGTTATATAGATCATTTTATGTCTTTATTTCACTTGTCTTACTATTTCATTGGATTTTATGTTATGTTTTAGTTCGATGGTGGCGTAGTTTGTGATCAAGGTGAAGCTGTAACAACCCCAAGACCTTACAACTAACATTAAAGCCAACTTCATGCCATCAGTAAAAGAACTCTTTATTGACTTTAAGAAGAGGTAGAAGTGATAGTCGAACTCGGACCTGCATGATTCCCGGCCCCTGGTGGCAACATCGTGCCAGTGCACCAAGGACCAAGCTGCTGCAAATGTTAATGGACACACAAGTTCACAGTTGCTTCTTCATAAAGATGTCCAGAAGCCAGACATTAAAGTTTATGTTTGGAAAGATGACACAAGGAGGGAGAAACAATAAGGAACTGTGTTAAGCCTGACAACAACAGCATCACAAGTTAGCAAGAAGGGAATTAATGCACCCAAGTTCACAATTCATTACTCAAGTCAAGTTAAAAGGAGATTTTGCATCAACAAATAAGTGCATTACAAGAAAAACAAAATGGCAGACACAAATGAGACAGAAATTGAAGCTCCCAGTGCAGAACAAGCTGCAAGGCAAGTGGATGAAACCTCTTTAGAACATACAGTGCAAATGGAGCAACGTAGAAGTGAAAGGCCTCGCATGCTCACAGAAAAAGGAAAAGAATTTCATAAAGAAAGGTTACAAGGGTTTCAACGTCGCTTTGACAGTATTTATGACAGATGGAAAGCATTAATCAAGGTGGCAAAAAAATCTGTTATAAAAGGAGATCCACCTGACATTCTTGAAGGTCACATGAACGTTGTACAAAGAGAAGCAGCCGAGCTTAATGATATTTATGATGAATACAGAGCAATGGATGGACCACCTCATGATATGCGTTCCAAGCTAGACAAATGCACATCAGTGACTACAGTAGTTTTGCAAAAGATCAAATGTCACATTAAAGGAGAAACTCAAGAGGAGATTGTATGGCCTGATGCAGGCTCTGTATTTACATCCTCCAGCTCTGTTAGTGCCTCAGTTCATAGTCCATTTAAAGCCAATACAGTTCTTTCTAATGGTTCCTCCTCCAAAAGACAAAAAGCTGCAGCAGAGTATGAAGCCACAAAGGCTGTGCTTCAGATAATGACGGAACAAGAGAAGTACAGAGAAAGAATGCAAATGCTTGAAGAAGAAGACAAACGCATATCCGCAGAGCAAGCAGCTGCTGCAATGTCACAACGTCTCCTAGAGGAAAAGGAGGAAACTGAGCGCAAGCTACAAAGAGAAAAGGAGAAAGCGGCCGTGATAAAGAGACAACAAGAGGAAAGTGCTGCAAGGAGAAAGTCAGTTGAGGACTTTAGAAGAGAAATTGAAAGATTGGAAAATCTGAAAGGACTCAAGGCAGCACAAGCAAAACTACAAGTTTATGAGGAAGACTACGTTTCAGTAAAGCAAGAAAGAGTCACTCTAAACCCTGCAAACTTACAGGTAACGGAGTCCAAGAATACTGCTAATCAACCCTTACAACCACGAAGAGAGTTAAATGTCACTTATGAGAACACAGGTGAGCTTGTAAAGGTTTTGGCAGAAGCTATGTCAGCTAATAGACTGCCTATTCCAGAACCCTCGGTATTTAGTGGGGATCCACTTAAGTTTAAGCATTGGAAGGCATCCTTTCAGACTCCAATAGAGAGAAAGAACATTCCCACTGCCGAAAAGATATTTTTTCTACAGAAGTATGTTGGTGGCTGTGTTAAGGAAGCCTTAGATGGCTATTTTCTGATTGGCTCTGAAGACTCATATGAGGCAGCATGGAATATGCTCAATGAACGTTATGGAGAGCCTTTTGTCATTGCTAAGGCCGTTAGAGACAAGTTACACACCTGGCCAAAGGTCACACGAAAGGATAGTGCAGAGCTAAGAAAGTTTGTGGACTTTTTACAAAGCTGCCAATCTGCAATGACTAATAATGAGAATCTGAACATTCTCAATGATGGCATTGAGAATCAAAGACTTGCTGCTAAACTACCAGATTGGTTAAGTAAGAGGTGGAACCGAAAGGCTACAGTGTACCAGCTGGAGCACAAAAGATTCCCACGTTTCAGTTACTTTGTAACATTCCTGTCAATGGAGGCAAGTATCGCATGCAGGGCCGGCCCGTGGCATAGGCCGTATAGGCAAATGCTAAGGGCGCCGTCCATCAGGGGCCGCCACGCCAGTGCCACAAATGTTGAAAAAAAAAAGTTGGTACTATTATTTCTAAATACAAAAAATAATCCCACGTTAATTAAAATGCAAAGTAAAGCTTATTTAATAGAAATATTATTTGTTACAACATTACGCCCCCCCTCCCCGCACGGTGCGCCCCCTCCCTTCCCGTATCATGGTTCCTTTTGGACGTCACCACATCAGAAAATCAACAAAAGGTGTCAAAACGGCCAAAACTGTCAGGTGCCCAGGGAAGAAAAAAGAGAAAAGAAGAGGAGGAGAAACAAGAAAAAGACAGAGGTAGGTAACGTTAGCCTACATGAAATTATTTGTCTGAATGTGATAGTAACCTAAATTTTTAGCATTGAGCTAATGTTACATGATTCGCTAATTGATAGTCAATAAATAGCTAGTTAACTGTTTTAACGTCAGTTAATATTGTGGAGGGGAGGGGGCTAAATTGTTATGGAAAATAATAATGTAACGTTAGGTAATTACAGCACTCCCACCATTCCTCATTTGTATTCATCTTTTAAGCAGGTGTTTTTTGTTTACATTGTTATTGCCTTCTGGTTAGCTAACGTTTACCCTGCAGGTAATAGTCACTTTTCCACCCCTGTATATATTATAGTTGTAAGCCTAGTTGTTAAAGTGCACATCATTAATGTTAATTAAGCAATATCACATGAGGGAATGCTGTTTTTTAATATGAGCACTGCTGTGATTCGGTCAAAGATAATCATAAAATAACATTCTCATATGATATTATACTGTTACTTTGCATTCTGCTATTCAGCATTTCACTGTAATGATGACAATAAATTGAATCTAATCTAATTTGCATATCAGTTAACATCATACATATATCTCTTTGGTTTTTCATTTATATTATATCATTTGATTTTATTCCTGGAATCATATGTTTTTATTATTATACTTTGATACTCAGTGGTGTCACATACTCCTCTCTTCAGATGCACTGTTGAAGTTTCTAAATCCCACCCCTGGGCCATCTACCACATCTACCGCTGCTGCCTCCACTTCAGCAGCACAACCCTCCAGTGATGCAGCATCAGCAGCACAACCCAGCCATGATGCAGCAGCATCAAGCGGTCTTCCTGTTGCCTCCACCTCAGCAGCACAACCCACCAGTTTATATATATATATATATATATATATATATATATACATATACACACACACGTGTATATACAGTGAACAAAAATATAAACGCAACACTTTTGTTTTTGCTCCCATTCCCCATGGGATGGACGTAGAGACCTAAAATTCATTCCAGATACACAATATAACCATCCCTCCCAAACAGTGGTCACAAATCAGTCCAAATGTGTGGTAGTGGGCACATCTGCTATATTGAGATAATCCATCCCACCTCACAGGTGTGCCACATCAGGATGCTGATCTGACATCATGAGTAGTGCACAGGTGTACCTCAGACTGCCCACAACAAAATGCCACCCTGGAATGTGCAGTTTTGTCTCACAGCAAAATGCCACAGATGCCACAAGCAATGAGGGAGTGTGCAATTGGCATGCTGACAGCAGGAATGTCAACCAGATCTGTCTCCCGTGCATTGAATGTTCATTTCTCAACCATAAGCCGTCTCCACAGGCGTTTCAGAGAATATGGCAGCACATCCAACCGGCCTCACAACCGCAGACCTCGTGTGACGGCGTAACAACTAGTAGCTCAGTGTTCCAACATTCGAAAGAAGGGACTGCTATCACAGCTAGAGATTGATGAGGTACAACATAAATGCTACGACAAGGAGGAGTCAGGACGCCAGGTCAGGGGGGAGATAGCATCACCCCTACCCGAGATTGGGTACATAGCCCCAAGTGCGATAGGAGAAGGGTCATTGAGTGCGAGAGGAACTGACCTCAAAAATAGGATCATGGCCAAGCATGAAACCTGGATCTCCCTTGAGGAGGTACACCAGAGAGATAGAAGGCAAGAGAATAAACCAGCTGTTCTCCACAGAACCAGCAAAGGTGTACTCTCAGTGGCAAGGGAACAATAATAATAAGAGAACAGCACCACCAAGGCTGGAGACGGAGCAATACTGGAAGAGCATATGGGAGAAGGATGCAACCCATAACGGCAATGCTCAGTGGCTAGTGGATCTGAGGGAAGACCATAGCGACCTCCCTGAACAGGGTCCAGTAACCATCACAGTGGCAGATATCCAAGAAAGGGTCTCCAGTATGAAGAGTTGGACAGCACCAGGAACCGACATGGTTCACGCCTACTGGCTGAAGAAGCTGACTGCACTCCAGTGCAGTGTCTGGCAGCACAAATGAACCAGCTGCTAGTTAACGAGAGACACCCGGAATGGCTAACCGAAGGTCGAACGGTCCTGATCCCCAAGGACCCCAAGAAGGGACCGGTCCCATCCAACTACCGACCAATAACCTGCCTCAGTACTACATGGAAGCTCCTGTCAGGCATCATGTCGGCTAAGATGAACAGGCACATGGGTCAATACATGAGTGGGGCACAGAAAGGGATTGGCAAGAATACCAGAGGCACAAAACACCAGCTACTGGTAGACAGAACAGTCAGCCGAGACTGCAAGACCAGACTGACCAACCTGTGTACTGCCTGGATTGATTACAAGAAGGCCTATGACTCAATGCCCCACAGCTGGATACTGGAATGCTTAGAATTGTACAAGATCAACAGGACCCTAAGAGCCTTCATCAGGAACTCAGTGGGGATGTGGCGTACAACACTAGAGGCCAACTCCAAGCACATAGCACAAGTCACCATCAAGTGTGGGATCTACCAAGGAGATGCTCTGTCCCCACTGCTGTTCTGCATAGGCCTGAACCCCCTCAGTGAGATCATTAACAAGACTGGCTACGGATACCGACTACGGAATGGAGCAGTTGTCAGCCACCTCCTGTACATGGATGACATCAAGCTGTATGCCAAGAGTGAACGAGACATCGATTCACTGATCCACACTACCAGGCTATACAGCAATGACATTGGAATGTCGTTCGGACTGGAGAAGTGTAGTCGAATGGTAACAAAGAGAGGGAAGGTAGTCAGAACTGAGGGGATATCCAGAAATCCTACCAGTGGCTGGACAAAGCTGGACTGAAAGACAGCACAGAGGCACTAATCATGGCAGCACAAGAACAAGCTCTGAGTACAAGAGCCATAGAGGCTGGGGTCTATCACACCAGGCAAGACCCCAGGTGCAGGCTGTGTAAAGGTGCCCCAGAAACAATCCAGCACATAACAGCAGGGTGCAAGATGCTAGCAGGCAAGGCATACATGGAACGCCATAACCAAGTGGCCGGCATAGTGTACAGGAACATCTGTGCCGAGTATAACCTGGAAGTCCCAAGGTCAAAATGGGAGATGCCCCCAAGGGTGGTGGAGAATGACCGAGCTAAGATCCTGTGGGACTTCCAGATAAAGACGGACAAAATGGTGGTGGCTAACCAACGGGACATAGTGGTGGTAGACAAACAGAAGAAGACGGCCGTAGTGATCGATGTAGCGGTTCCGAATGACAGCAATATCAGGAAGAAGGAACACGAGAAGCTGGAGAAATACCAAGGGCTCAGAGAAGAGCTCGAGAGGATGTGGAGGGTGAAGGTAACGGTGGTCCCCGTGGTAATAGGAGCACTAGGTGCGGTGACTCCCAAGCTAGGCGAGTGGCTCCAGCAGATCCCGGGAATAACATCGGAGATCTCTGTCCAGAAGAGCACAGTCCTGGGAACAGCTAAGATACTGCGCAGGACCCTCAAGCTCCCAGGCTTCTGGTAGAAGACCTGAGCTTGAAGGATAAACCGCCCGCAGGGGCGTGCTGGGTGTTTTTTATATATATATATATATATGTATTTGTCTGTTTGTTTTGGTTGTTTTTTTATTTTTTGCCCTTTATCACCGTTCCTCTTCCCCGCTGTTTTCTTTCCCTACCTCTCTTTCTTTCTCCTTATTTCCCACAGTCATGCCTGTCCCGTGTGTAGCAAGTGAAAATAAAATAAACAATAAAAACAAAGGTGAATCAAATAGACCAATACAGCAAGGTCCATTTGGTAAAGTTAAGAATAAAAAACAAAAATTAAAATGAAAAGAAACCTCCAATTTCAGATATTTGAGGTTATTCTGAAAATAATGATACCAAACAAGGCAAGAAAAACTGTTTTAAAGGTGAAATATAGAGGTAAAATCAAAAGTAGTCAAAAACAGTCATTTATACCCTGGACCCCAGAGGGGCAAAGCATGTTAGCTACCACTCACCGCTTGTTTGCAGGCTTTATTAAATGGAAAACTTCCACAATACATCCAAATGTAAGATATTTGTTTAATAGATTATCAGTTTCAAAATACATAAAAACATTTAACCTGTATGCATAAACTATTCAGTCTGACAACTGCGAGGTTTAAATCAATAGGGAATATTTATAGATATATACACAATTGGGGGAAAAACTGACTAAGCTTATATGTATGGAGAGCACATAAGTGCAAAGGCAGGAAAATAAAACTGAGAGGAAGAAATACAATATTATGCAACTTTTAGGTGTCACTCGGTCATCTTCACTGGCGTGATGATCAGTGGTAAATCGTTCCTTCCTGACTTGTTGGTGCAGGGGCTGAAGAAAGGGTAGAGGGTCTCATTGAAAATGTCATTAAAAGTATAGATGTGCATCTTAGCATCAACATTGTAGAAAGACACCTGCAAAGAAGAGAAACACACCTAAAGTAAAATTACATAAACAAGACAATAGTGAAAATATCTATATTTATAATATTTATCTATATGTAGCTAAATAAGTTTAAATTAAAGGGGGACTCAATTTGCCCATTCTTTATGAGACAGGTAAATTCCAATCATGTACACCTGCGCACCTGTCCATTTTCAAAGTCCACAAATATCCCGATCTTATGAAGTACAAGGTTCACTGGGACATCTGTGTAGGGTTGAGAACGAAAGCCAAACTTATTCCTGTGGGGAGAAATGACAAAGGGAAAGGAAATTAAAGATGAAAAATTTCTTCTAACATCAGTAGGTCTGATTTCATTTTAATCTGCATTATTGCAAAAGCATGGCATTTTCATGCATTTTTAAGGAACTTAAAAAAGTAAGACAACTATCAGGTAAAAGGGAAAAATTAAACAACTGAAAACATTCTTTGTGGGGGATTGCTAAAAAGACCAGCTTTTAAATCCAACATTTACATGTCATTGCTTTATTTTTACATTCAGCAAATGCTGGGAAACAGCATCAATCTGGAGTGTTTCTGTCCTTTTCATTAATACAAGTACAATGTTATGTCTCACAGTTCTGTTTGGTCTTCATCCTCTGCTAATTGAATTTTCTGTCTCATTATTGGCTAAATGTGAATGTATGCAAAGACGACACAAGAGTTCCCGTAGCTCTTCTGGGAGCTAGAGTCAACTAGAAAATGTCTTCTTGAGTGAGTCCTCTATGAAGAGGAGCCTTTCCTTGTCAGTGGTCGCGGCTGCTACAGAGTGCTGGCAGCCTCATTTCCCTCGGCCTTAAAACTGCAAGGCGGCCATGCTGCAACGCCAAAACATTGATGGTAAAATCACAGTGATCCCACCCACCATCAATGCGTCGGTTGCCCCCGGGAAAATCGTGGGGGTCACGGGAGATCCCGTCGGAACTATCGTCTGGATACCAAAGCTCCTAATAGCCAGGAGAATGTGATCCATTTCTTCAGTGAGTGAGCGGTAATCCTGCTAGGCCAGAGACAGGGAGTTGGCGAGGCCAGCTTGCACTGGAGCCAGCAACTGTTGGAGGAATATGTAAGTGAAGATGAATCCGTCATCATCCATTCCTAGCAAGGATAGCATACTTTCCATGAGCTTGAGAGGCCATCATCCAGGCCAGAGAGAGAGAGAGGAGTTTCTCAGCCCACTCTTCAACAGAGAGGGGGTAGCGAATGAGTGGTGTCATTCCCTTGGGTGGGGGGGATCCCGGAGGAAGGTCATCACATGACCCTCAGCAGATCGAGTAAGGCCACCACATGATGGTATTTCGTTTCGTTGGCTGAAACAGCCAAAAAAAAGAAAACTCAGCTTCAACGTGCACAAACCATGAAGGAGGTGGTGAAGCCAAAAATCCGGCAGCTTAAAAGCCACAGCAAAAGTTGAAACATACAGCTCAGCTATCACTTCCAAAATAAGTGAAGACAGAAAACCAAACAGCCATGGTGTTTGTAGGGTTACTGAAGTAGGGTTAACATGGTGGCTAGCTACACTGCTATCGTTAGCATATATAAACACTGTGAAGCTGGACGCCGAACGCTAACTTTTTTCCACTTGATAAAAGTTAACGTGAGGGTTCCCGAAGGTTCGGGACAAATGCAATCGCATGGCAAGATGCTGTAAACAGACCAAACTTTAGTCAGGAGAACAACTGAGATAATCCATCTACAGTACGAGGTTAGTCACTGCTGCATGGGCTGGTGTAGCCCAGTGGAATTGAGGTTCCACAGTTCTTCTTTTTCCTGTTCTGTCTAATCTATTTTTATAATTCTATATTTTATAATTCACTATAGTTTATTTGCTCTTCTTTGCCAAACCTATTCTCTATTGTCTCAAATCTGTCTATCAAATTTATTTTGCCATCCTTTCACCTTATTGGCTTAAACCATACATTCTTGCATGTGATTGGTTAGGAGAAGTAGATCCTGCCTCCTCATGCTTACTGAAGGACATTCCAAGTGCAGTGTAGATGAGGCTACAGTGAAAGGCTAAAACAAACAATCCCTAATTAATGAGGAAAAATACTTTCTGTAGTGGAAAAAAAATAACAGCCTGTAACCAGTATTTGGTTCAGGAGGAGCAGAACGGAATCACCTAGAAAACCGGAGGTTGTTTATACGGAAATTATAGTACTTCCGACCGTCTTGATGAGTGTTGTAAAAGTTAGCATTGCTAGCTGATGTAGCGAGCATGGTGCCTTCTTCCCAAGTCTATCGGTGTGTGGGTAAGTTGGGTAGGCACTGATGAAGTTTTCAAAACAGTGTTTGGAGGATTAATATTAAATAATATTAATAAAAATTATTAATAAAAATTTTTTTTATGTCCAAGTTAACCATGTGATAGTCCTGCCTAAGCCAATGCTCTTTATTCCACTTTTATTCCTCTTTATTTGCATGCAAATGTTACTGCTGCTGCTGCAGGCAATGTGTAAAATGTGATTGAAGTCCCGTAGCTGGATATGGAGTATTACACAAATATTCTCCCCTGGCTTCTTCCCACAGTCCAAAGACATGCAGTTAGTGGGGATAGGTTAATTGATCAATTTAAATTACCCGTAGGCGTGAATGTGGGTGTCTGTCTCTGTGTGTTAGCCCTGCAACAAACTGGCGACCTGTCCAGGGTGTCCCCCGCCTCTCGCCCTATGACAGCTGGGATAGGCTCCAGCGCCTATCCCATATAAAAATATGGTTTTGTACATGGAAAATTTGTTTAGAAATAAATGCTGATTAAAACTATATTGTAAGGTGAGTACAAGTCAGAAAAACTTGATAACTTTCTAGTTAAAGATAATGAGACTCCATAAAAAATAATTAAGACTTAATCAGTTCTTTCATTTCCAAAAAGAAAAGTCCACTGTTATGTGTTTTTCAGTGCTATACTATTTTATTAGTTCAATGGTTTATTTTCATTTTGTATAAGGATTGAAATGATGCAATGTCCATATGGTTAACATACTTGAATACACAAATATGTGTGTGAGCTCAATTCCAAAGCTGTATGTAATAAAGGTTTTTATTGTCATGCAGACTGGGTTTTTTTCCCCCTTCCATCCCATTTGTGGTTGTTCATGGATTTCAGATGTTGGAACTCTCCTCTGAGAGGAGATGTCGAACCATCCCAGGCCCTAGAATTTGTCTGCCGCAATGATCGTCCTTAGTTGATTTGAAGATTCGCGGTTTGGTAGAACACGCCCAGACCACATAACAGTGCTGACAGTAGAAAAAGACCTGAGGGTGCACCCACTAAATCTTCTTTTCTGATTTTTTTTCTCATCTTCTTCTCCAAGAAAAAGCGAGCTTGACTTGACTTATTCTTCTGACTCTTGACTTGAGACTTTGTATCACTGACACCCATGTGGAGACTCAGAGACCCTTAACAGTAATTTTATGACTGAGATTGTTTAGGTTATAAATTGTTTTGCCAGCTATAGTTGTGTCTATGTTGCAGTGCTATCATTTGTGGGATAATACAGCGTTCTCCTCAACTCACCTGCCTCCTGTAAACCATTCTCCCTTTAACACTACCTCACAAACCTAGAACTGGTCCACCAGAGGGTACATAGAAGCTCTGGTTAAACTGGGCTATAGTTACATTGTAAGGTTTTCAAACTGAGCTTTAAAATGAACAGTGATAATAAAAACTGAGAGAGGCTAACAGTGATCACTGGCTGTTTTTAGGGGGCTGTTCAGATTAAATAGAACAAGATACAAAGCATTAAAACATGTTAAAAACACAACAGCCTTAATAAACGCAAAGTAGTTTGGACCCAGAAGCAGGATTCATCAGGTCATCATTTAAAGATTGGATATACCACCTACTGTGAATGTTTTAATGGAGTACAGTTGTTATTATTGTCACGTGTCACAGCCAGTTTATGACCGTTAAAATAAATAAAATTCATATAAGAAATAAAATTGCCTTGTGTAAACTGTATATGGTGTTAAATAGGTCTATACTACAGTACTGCGCTGGACAATATGTTGCGGTCATAATTAAATGGAAGTGACTAAGTGACGATTTATCCACAAATACTGTTTAGCTTCTCTCAGACCTATATTGAAACTAAAAATATATATACAGACTGCAAATGGAGACCATTCACCTTCAAAGTGGAAGTTGTACCATATGAAACATGTTGACTGTAGCTCTGAGGTACAACTTTTACTTTGAAGGTGAACCTTCTCCCTTTCCAGTTTGTGTCACACCATAATGTTGTATTACCACAAGTAGTTAACCACATACTTGCAGAAACACACGAAAATCTGCAAGCAATTGTGGCAATCTTCTAGCAACCAAAGTGACAACAAGCAGCATGCTTCTGGGAACCACCGCCAACCATTTGGGAAATAAGCATTTTTCCTTCAGCTACAACGGCCAATAATTTGGAGAACTCTTCAACAATGTGTTTAACTCACTTGTCTCTTAAACTGAGGAACCAGAATCCATTGTCTGGGGTGTATTCAATCTTCCCCTTCCTGCTGACGGAATACTTGACCACACCCAGGTCCCAGTCAGTCTTCCCTGTCACGTCCACCTTTTCAAACCAAACAAACCACAATCCTTCACTCAAATAGTGAAACGCATGTAAGTCTGAAGAAGCCAAGATGTTTGGCCAACATTTGTTTATTTAGCACACAATTGTATCTTGTAATGAAAGCAGTATGGAATCAAGTTTAATCAACAATAAAGAACTGAATTATAATATATGAGCAATGATTTTCAAGACTTTTGACTCTTGGAAAGGGCAAACCCTCATACCTCCCAATAATGTTTTCCAGAAGAGATTGGCTCCCTCCCTATAACACAGACAACTTTTTCAAACCTCTCTGGGTTGTCTGGCACCAGTTGGTGTCGATCTCCACACCTCACCTGCAGAAATATACAATTTATAATTACAGCTCATTTCATGGAGATTTTACATCTTCTTTTTCTACTGTTCTCTATTTATGCTAAAAGAGAGGCTCCGAGACAAGAGGACACAGGAAGTCATTTCAGCATGATTGTAATAGTCTAGTAACTGAACAGGAGCCTCACACTTTTCAGGTCTGATGACAGCACCAGTCTTGGATGGGCGGTACTGGAGTCCAGAGTTACATCCACTGTGTTGAAAGAAGATGTGAAGAACTTCATTTTCTGTTGGTAATTCTGCTTTCATTAATTTTAGCTTGGATGAATGTCACTTACGTGCATATTCGTGTATTCCCTTTATCCCTGCAGACAAACAAAATTATATATATATATATATATATATATATATATATATATATATATATATATTATTAACAAAATACAGTGCTGCTGTTAAAACTCACCAGATACATTTGGATCTTAATTATCAACAAGGTTAAAGTGGATGAAGTTGTATACAGTGTAACCGTTAAAAGAGCACTTGTTAAGGTGGAGAGGACATGTACACTCACTGGGCTGTGATCGAGAAGGACTGGGATCCAGTGTTTGTGCAGGAAAACCTGAACAGAAACAAGACAACAGGTGTAAGGAGCTAACATGAACCTTACTGTTTGGTCTGGTAATCCAGCAGAAATAGAAGTAACAGCTAATACAAACCTGCACCACCGGGGGGGGGGGGGGGGGGGGGTATTTCATTGCTTAATGATTGTATCTGTAGTACTGTCTGGCTTGAACACTTAAAAATACTTTAAAAAATTCCTCTAGTGGCAATTTATAGCCTGCTCCAGAAAGACAGTCATTGATAGTTTAATGGTTTCTCCCAAGAACTTTATGGTGTGTGAATATATTTTATAATTCATCCATCTGAAAACTTATAAGGCTTAGAGTTGAGGGCATACTCTTGAGAGGGCTGCTAGGCCTAAACTTCTGTGTTGATGAGGAATTATTGGACAAATAACAGGTTTATTGTGTTTATTGACTAGACATGCAAAGCACAGTGCATGGGCACCCATTGGGGCATGCTCATGCCACAGTGTAATGTGCATTTGTGCAATGAAGAGACAGGGAATCACAGGAAGTAGTGACATATAGTACACAAGAAGACCATGAATAGCCAATAAAAAACAATTGCATAGTACATGCAAATTAGTGAAAAAGCTCAATACAGGTTTTGGAGCCATTTGCTGAATCTCCACGCTGCTTTCTACGTGAAAGATCTCTTAAAGTAGAGTTTTTTTCACTTGCGTGTTTTTAATAAGATTATCTGACTGATTATCTTCTAGCTGGTGCCTTTTGGGTCATCACAGCGGATCATCTGCCACCACCTCACCCTACCCCTAGCATTCTCTTCTATTATACTCACACTAACCAACTTCACTACATCCATGAATCTTCTCTTAGGGGATATTCTTCCTCATCCCTATCAGCTTCATCTTCAATATCCTTTATTCAGTAAACCCACCATCCACCCACCTCCTCTTCAAATGTGCAAACTATCTCAGCCTTGCCTCTCTGGGCTTGTCTAGATCCTAGATTGTAGATTGCACTTAATCTACTCATTTTTAATTCTGTTCATGCCCAATAAAAATCTTAACATCTTCAATTACCCCTGACACTTGTCTTCACCCACTTCACCCTACCTGCACTCTCTTCCACACCTCTCTTGTCCAATGTCTGTTGAATATACCCCGATGTGTGGTATGGGTCATAAAAAGTTTGTGTCTGCATTTTGGTGATCAGAATTATAGTATTCTATTGTTCTCCTACTTAGCACTAATTAACATATGGGTATCTGTGCATTACACTGGTACAGTTTATGGATGCAGCTTATTACCCAGACCAGCATTAGCTGAGTATTTAGCATTTCACTTGCAGCTACAGAAAAACACAAAAGCATCAGCCAAGAAATTTATTTAAAGTTTCTTTTTTATATAACAGCCAGACTCTGTTATCTATCGCCTAAATGTGTTTTGAGAGTTGTTGGGTTTTTTTGCTCCGTATGTTGAGTCTGAACTAATTAAAAATTCCCTGTTCTCGCAGATTTTGTGTCTTCTTTGTATATTATATGTGTAAACCAGCTGAATGCTTTTCATTACACTGACCTTTTTCTGTGATATTCTTCAGCTCTTTGGCAAACTTCTCCACCTGAGCTAATATAGACATGTAAATGGACTCTGTCCCCAGGTCAGAATTCACCGACACTTTGTACCAGTCTTTGGTAGGTGGAGGGCTGGACAGAATTGGGAACGTCTAGGGAGCAGGTGGAAAGAAATGTTAGAAATTTTTTCCTGTCAGTATTTACCAAAATGCCAACTCTTCCTACAGGATCAGGAGTTGAGCATCAAAGCTTATCAGACATTAAGTCACCGTCACGTTGCCAAGCAACCACCTAATAATAGACTAAAATGTTCCTTACACAACAAACGGGCACTTATGTGCTCTTATAAAAGCTTACAAAAGCTTTGTGTCACTCATTTGATGTCAGTGACATATAATTTGGCAAATATTGAATATAATCATTTTTGAAATCTCCAATCTGTGAAGTGTACATTACATCTCTTTTCACCCTAACTTATCAAGTCAAGTTTACTTTATTTAGAAACTATATGAGTAGTTTAATGTTTGCTTCAGTAAAAGTATAAATATACTTAAGGTAATAGGATTTCAATCCACGTGAATTTGACCTTAAACAGATTGTTGTCACATGCATGTTATGTATATGTATAGGTAAACCAAAAGCCATACAAGTATACACCCATATAGTATATCTTTTACTATATTCTAGATAAACAAATCATGCATATTAATTTTTCATTATATACTTAATGGGCCTGGCCAGTGTCTGACCAATGAGTGCATTAGTATGCCTTAATGATACATGCAAATGCATTTTGATGTATAAGAACATTTTGTCAGTTCTGTGGTTATCTGCTATTTATTTGTATAAATAACATTTACCACCTCTACTTTTTTACTTTCCTCAGTCTGATTCAGTATGTCAGTTTGCCAACAGCACAAAACAAATAGTATTGGAACATGGGCGTGTACTAGCATCTTCACATTCATCCTTAAATTCTTACTTTCACACAGTATAAATGATCATCTGATTGGGCAAGCTTGGAAAGCTCGCTTTGTCTCTTCTTTAGTTGTTCGATCTCCTGTTCCAGCTGCCTTGTCATGGATTCAGCATGGCGCTGTGCCACCTTCCGGCTGATCTCCATCGCCTCCACCAGCTCTGCCTGGGAACGTTCAATGAAACAAACCAAACTCGAGAATAGAGAAACGCTGCCCGCCGTCTCTCGGTCCACTGCCAGCTGGAAAGTTAGACAGAGTGATATGAGATACATGATTGTTTAATTTGTTTTGGTTTAAAATATATATTAATCTCCCCTGTAAATAAAAATTCTCACATCACATGGAAATATGCAGCATCTGTGAATTGCAGCTCAGATTTCAAACGTAAGGAACCTAAATTTTGCTACAACTAAAAATCTAAGAACATGTGCAAAATGTCTAGAAATCCTAAAATGCAAGGTAAAAAGTTAGAAATATAAAATCTTTACCAAAGTTTGAATAATGTAATTAAAACTTGAGAGTGTTTCATAAATGATTTTGTTGTTTAGAAAAACATAATGTTGGAAAAATATATATATATTTTTAACTTAAAATGTAATATGTGGATTTGGTAATCAGATATAAATTGTAGATCAGGGAAATACACCTGCACTTTTATGTAAAATTGGCTATAGATATTGTTTAATAAGCTCCCAACATGTAGAAATACATAATTTAAGTTTGAAAAATTCAATTCAATTTTATTTATACAACAACAGTCGCCTCAAGGTGCATTATATTGTAAGGTATTGTTAGGGTCCCTGGGTCGTTGACCCAGTGTTTTGTGTTTTTGGTTCTTTGATTTTGTTATTTCATTATATTCTAGCTTTGCTTTATGGGTTTTAGGATCATTCTTAGTTTAGGTTCTCTGGGTGGGGTTGGTTAGAGCTTTAGTGTTCTGATTTTCTGTCTGTGTTCCTTAGTTGCTGTCTCCCCTGTCTGCTGTATCCCCACATCCAGTCAGTGTCTGTGTCTGTCCTGGTCCCACGTCTCTGTTCCCTCTGTTGTAGTGCTTGCATGTGAGTCTGTGTCTTTTGTTCAGTCTGTGTTTTGGGTTTCCTGTTTTACTTTGAAAGTCCATGTCTCATGTTAATGTGTTTGGTTTTGCTTCTCCTTTGTCTTGTTAGGCCTGATTTGCCCCAGCTGTGTTTCCCTCCTGTTGCCCATTCCCTGATTGCTCCCTCTATGTATTTAAGCCCTGTGTTTCAGTTTGTCAGTGTCGCTATCTACCGTTTATTTTGCTGTCTGTTTTGTCAGTCCACCGGTGTTAGTTTATTTGATTTTTTCCCCAGTTATGTTATGTTTGAGTTCAGCATTAAAGCTGTTTTGGTTTAAGTTTGTCTCTGGAGTCTGCACCTTGGGTCCTATTCCTGTCCGCACACAGCCGTCACACAACAGGTATACCCTACAATATTACACAGAAAAACCCCAATAATTATATGACCCCCTATGAGCAAGCACTTTGGCAACAGTGGGAAGGAAAAACTCCCTTTTAACAGGATGAAACCTCTGGCAGAACCAGGGTCAGGGAAGGGCAGCCATCAGGTGCGAACATAAAAAGGGAAATTGAAATAGAAATTGTTTAACACCGCGGTCCCCAATCCCCAGGCCACGACCAGTACTGGTCCATGAGTCATTTGGTACGGGCCGCGGGAGTTGAGGCTGTGAAATTTATGGTATTCAGGGTTTTTATCATTAACTCGGTTTCCCTGGGTCTTTTCCCATGTTGTAGTTGTGAGTCTTATATTGAAAGAAATGTTACCATAGTGACCAGAGAGCATTAAGGGGCAGAAAGGAGGACGTTTACTCTCAATGTTGTTGGCGCATTTCAGGAGGACGCTGCTAATAAAGTTACACAAATACACACTGAATTCGCTAAATAGCACAGTTTTTGTCTTGGTCGTATAATTTTATTTTTTTGCATTGATCCTTGACACCTTAAAGGCCGGTCCGTGAAAATATTGTGTGACGTTAAACCAGTGCAAAAAAGGTTGGGGACTGCTGGTTTAACAAAAACCTTGAAGTGATATGAGGATTTACAGGTTTTACCATGCACCTGTGGTCTTACACAAGAATGTGTTTGTGTTTTACCTCCAGCTCTGTCACTGACATATTTATCTCTTCGATCTTGTTGATTCTCTCGATAATCATGTCCTGGATTGTCCGCTCTGACACAGTCAGCAGTGTCTAAAATACACAAACATTCATGTTACACAGTACTGACTTCACTTGACCTTCAGCCTATTGGTGTTCTGAAACAGACGTGGGGAACAAGGGTGGATCTGTTTGTGATAATGTCAGACAGTAGTCAATGAGCATATCTTACAAAATACCTCCTTCTGGAAACAAATAATCACTACATAACTTCATATTATATGCAGCATGACCTGAAACCAAATGTTTAAAAATGATATATTGAATAGAAACAGTGTAGAGCAAGGGTAAGCAACTCCAGGCCTCGAGGGCCGGTGTCCTGCAGGTTTTAGATCTCACCCTGGTTCAACACACATGAATCAAATGATTAGTTCATTACCAGGCCTCTAGAGAACTTCAAGACATGTTGAGGAGGTAATTTAACCAATTAAATTAGATGTGTTGGATCAAGGACAGATCTAAAACCTGCAGGACACTGAGGCCTGGAGTTGCCCACCCCTGCTGTCGAGGAACATAGATTCTATGTATTTGACTCATTTTCTGTTATCAAACTGCTCCACTGTCTAAGAATTTAGGCTCAGATGTTAAATCATTTTTAACAGATTTTTTTTTAAAAATGGTCTAGTTCGTTCATGCCAGAACTTCATACTATCACATGTCAGTTATCACCTGCTTTTTAGCAATTCTTTGTTACTCCAATAAAAAACATTATTCTGGTTTTTTTTAACATGGAAACTTCCCTAACCTAATCCATCTGTCCTTTGTATCTATCTCTTTCTGTTTTAATTTTCAAACCTTGGTTTCCATCCATTCAGTTTCAACGGTCACTGTGTCATGGTCTGGATGATCCTCCATCTCGCATTCAGGACAAATGCACACCTGGTCACTCCTACAGAAAATCTGAAGCCCATTGCATATGATTTTTATTTGGTCTTCTTTAAGGACTTCATTCAACAGGTGCAGAAGGTGAACGTTTTACCAATATTGGCCTGTTGTGGATCTCACAAAGAGGGACATTGTGGCTCATCTCAGTCCCACTCAGCGTGTACCTCCTCCTCTGGGTATGTGGTCGGTGGGAAACCTTAGGACCTGCCACATAGGTTTCATTCAATGCATCACTGAAACTGTGGTTTGGCACTGAGGATGCTCGTGAGTCCTTGACTGGAGGAAAGGACGTTGAGATTGAGTCACTTTCCAAGCCTGAAGATGAAAAAAATATCAGGGATTTTCAGGTTAGTCAGTCGCTTTAGTGAAAAGTCAAATATCTATTTGGATACACAATGCTGACATTTTGTAGAGCCATTCATTGACCCTAGATCTTTGTTCAAGTACAGTTGTGGTCAGAGGTTTACATACACTCATCATGGGCATGAATCACATGTTAACATTCTGCTAATCATGATTTCTTTGAACTGCTGTTTTTTTCTGGATGGAATAATTATTCAGCATTCATCTTTCGTAATCCACAAAAGGTGAAAGTACACATTCAATTTAATTAAATGTAATTCAATTCAATTCAGATTTATTCATACAGAGCCAATTCGGAACAACAGTCGCCTCAAGGTGCTTTATATTGTAAGGTAGTTACTGTTTGGCAACAGTGGGAAGGAAAAACTCCCTTGTAACAGGAAGAAACCTCTGTCAGTAGTCTTGTATAAGTTTGCTGTTGTGCAACATAATTATGACAGGACAGTCATTTACCAAGTACTCTGAATTGCCTACTCTGAAATCTGAGAACTCCTCCAGATTGTACTTGAGCTTTGAAAAGTACTCTATAAATTATTACAGACGGAAACACAGAAGTTTTCTTACTCCGAGAAAAGGTCTGGTGAGTCTTTCGCACAGGGTGACACAGCTTTTTCTTCAGTTCATCAAATAAATGGCTTGACGGGCTTCCATGCCCTCCAGTTCCCTTTCTTCCACTCTTATTCTTTACTACTCCATTTTTCATAGATTTATACTGGTCAGTGATCTCTCGTAGTGTTCTGTTAATCTGGAGGTCTGGTCGCTTTTCAAAGCTCTTTTTACACAGAGGACACTTGAAAACCTGGAAGGAAAGATGGAAATAAGATATAAGTAAAGATGGAAACAATAGAAACAAAAAGGACATCAGCAGGAATGACGAAAATATGTTAAATAACTTCTCTGAACGTCAACAGAAAGTAAGGGAATGAAAAAGCTGAAAATGAAGGAAATCAAAAAAATAAGACCTTAGCTCCATTCCAGTATTTGGTGATGCATTGCATGCAGAAGCTATGTCCACATGGTGTGGATGCAGGGTTGGTGAATACATCAAGGCATATGGAGCACTGGAACTGTTCTTCACATAAAAAACTGTCATATAGAGACATCTTTCTGGAAGCAAAAGAGAGATGCAAACAATCTTTAGGAGAGTTTCAACATATGGATGATAACATTTGTGATTTTAAGCAACATAAACCACATAACTAATTTGGTTTATGTTGGTTTGGTTTATTTCAGTGACTAAGCAGTCACTGGAGAAGGTTACAGCTTCTCCAGTGTGATGATTTGGCAAATTTACTGCTGTATGCTCTCAATCGTATTGGTGGCATAAATAATAAAGGATGGGATAATGGTGCACCTTACATGGTATTTCATCTGGCTGTTCACACAAGTAAACTTGATGCACTTCGTCAAAGGTTTCACTTGTCTTTTACACAAAAGGTGTCCTTTGGCATTTGTACTCTGACAAACCACGTCAAGGCATGTCAGAGGAACAGATCTGTCACTCCCAGCTGTCACTTGTATTTCAACTTTGGAATAAAAAACTGCTGGATTATAGTAAAATCATAAAAGCTGATCAAATGTAGCTCCCGATCCTTTAATCCAATTTAACCGAGGTATTGCTTACAGTGTAGTGAAATAAAACCTTCACAGATTGTCATGTGTGTAAACAGAAAAACATCAATTCTGAGGGAGTATACTGCCCCCTACTGGCTCAAGTATTTGTTATTCCCCAGCTTTAAGCTTTAATTCCTCTCTTCACTCAAAACATGTTAAACTAAAGCCTTCTAAATATCCAGCTGTCAAGTTTTTTTCTACATGTGTCACTTTCTGATTGAATATGTAATTGTGTGTGTGATACTTTTACTATCACACTTGACCTTTGAAACACTTTTGCTCATAATCAAGCTCATCATGTTATCTGAGGTGATAACCTTCTGTCTCAGGTAGCTGCTGGGAGGACTTCTCACTAACCACTGATAACAACTTCATTAAGACTTTCTTCAGAGAACAACTGAGGCTTCTGTAACGTAGCTTTTGTCCCGCAACTGTGCTCAGTCCCTGAAAACACAAAATTGTCTTATTGTGTCATATGCTCTGATCAGCGTGTCGGGTTGAATTTATCACTAGGTGATGCTAGTTGTACTTTGGGTGTTTGGTGTGTTTTAATGTGAGTGCTGTTTGACTTTTTTAAACAAGTGAAACCCAAGAGAGGAGCAAAGAGTCATGACGCAGTTATCTAACAAGCTATTTATTTATTATGAGAATCAATGCATAGAAGTCATGTTTAAATTTAGTGTATCAAATGTCTAGCAACAAAATAACAGGGTTAAGATGGTAAATGGCCTGTATTTATATAGCGCTTTACTAGTCCCTAAGGACCCCAAAGCGCTTTACATATCCAGCCATCCACCCATTCACACACACATTCACACACTGCTGATGGCAGCTACATTGTAGCCACAGCCACCCTGGGGCGCACTGACAGAGGCGAGGCTGCCGGACACTGGCGCCACCGGGCCCTCTGACCACCACCAGTAGGCAACGGGTGAAGTGTCTTGCCCAAGGACACAACGACCGAGACTGTCCAAGCCAGGGCTCGAACTGGTAACCTTCCGATTACAAGGCGAACTCCCTCACACATATCTCTCTTTGATGACTAAAATCTGAACAGTATGGTCAGAAGATTTCAGGAATGAAGTTGATCGAGATTTTGTTCAGAACCCACAGGTACAGGTTTATCTTTATACAGGTAACATTTGAGCAGACTCATGTTGGGCAACACATTTCACAAATACTTCTGAAAGTTGATTTTCACGGGAAGCCATGCATAATTCTGTCTCATGTGTAAACTTCTCATGCTAGCCTATCCTGTTTCAGAGTTTTATGGGGCTGGACAGTATTGTTATTGTTCTGCAGTTAAATCCCAGGATGGTTCATCTGTCTGTCCCACAGCTACTACATGCAGGTCAGGTATTTGTTTTGTGAGGGAGGGAAATACATGCACAAGTGTGAAATCCTGCAGGTTAAAGAGAGCTAGTTATTTGTCAAAAGAAACTAGTACCATTGTCAAATATTCGATTTTTTTGCTTGAGTCATCAACCATGAGTTGAATCGTGCTCAATTCATGAGCATTGAGATAATGATTTACTACTAGAAATTGTTATATGAGCAAGGAAAGATGCAGATTACAGGCTCCATTTAGGACAAAAATCAAAAGCTTAAAAAAATCCTCTTAGCACGTTTCCTAGATAAACATATAACTAACTTTCCTAATTTTGGCATTAAAACATTTGTCAGGGGTTCTTATGGAAGAGGGAACAAAAGAGGAATTATATCCAAAATTAAAAAACAGTGTGTTCATCATCTTGGTTTGCAGCCAAGAGATGATTACAAAGCACAATTATCATGATTATGCTCAATCTTTAACTTCCATTAAGAAGGTCATACCCACAAAGCAGCTGAAGTAAACAACATTACAGCCATAATATGACTCAGCTAAAATTCTAAAATCCACAGAATAAACCACTAAAGTGCCCACAAATATGTGGAGCATGTTTGGTGTTCTGGTAGCTGCAAAACCATTGCAAAATGTTATCTCACTGCTTGAAAATTATCCTTGGAGATGGGATGGTTGGGGTTTGGAGATCTAAGAATTCTTCAACTTTTCTGTGGTTTATATGATCCAAATCCAAATCGAATTTATTTATAAACTACATTTAAAAACAGAAAGTTTGCCCAAAGTGCTGTACAGAAAAACAAAAACAAGACAAAAAACAAACGATAAGACCACTCACATTCAAACACGTACATAAAATAAAACAAAGACACATCAACATCAACTCACACTGGTCCAAAAAAGAAGTGTGTCCAAAAGAGACTTAAAAACTGCCTATTATTTACAGGCAATGCATTCCAAAGTTTGGGAACCACAATTGAAAAAGCTTCTTCTCCTCTAAGCTTCAGCCTAGTTTTTGGGACAACCAAAGGCAGCTGATCTGTGGGCCTGCGAGGGAAGTACATCAGAATAGTATGGAGAAGCAAGACCATTTAAGCATTTATAAGTCAACATTAGGACTTTGAAATTAATTCTATGATAAACAGGAAGCCAGTTAAAGGAGGGAATGAAAGGTGAGATATTTCCATGCCTGTGTGCCAGTTAAGAGACTGGCAGCAGCATTTTGTACAAGCTGAAGATGTGAGAGGGATGCTTGGCTGACTCCAGCATAAAGTGCATTGCAATAGTCAAGCCGAGTTGAGATAAGGCATGTATTATTTTCTCAAAGTCATGCCCTGACAAAATTGGCTTAAGCTTTGCCTTAATTGGAAAAAGCTTTTTTGCAACTCAGAACTGATTTGTTTACTAAATTTAAAATCCAAATCCATTATGGCTCCAAGATTCGTTACATGCTGTTTGATGAGTGACCCAAACTATTACATTTTACTCCTAAATCTCACTAATCAACATATGCCAGAAAAACAACAAGCACAGCCTCGTATTACAAGAAATACACAAAATAATAACTAAAGGAAAATGTGATACCTTAATGCAGGTAAGGTGGACAGCACAGAAATCCAGAGATGTCCCACCTTGGCCGCTCACACTCTCAATTATGAGGTGTCTCGGTGTGTGTACGTGCATAAGTAGTGTGTTCGAGAAAGTACAGCCACGCCCTCTCATAGTTCTCTGTAAATGTGGCAGGACTGGTTAAGATAGTGAAAAAAGAAAAACTAGGTCAGAGGACGTCAGATCTTATCACTGCATATGTTTATAGTAACACTCCTTTTATTAAGCATCAATGAAAATAGCCGCACATAGATCAGCCTGTGAGACTGTATCACATATCATAAGTATTATGAATTACTGATTATAAGTAAAGCAAATTTGTGATATAGGATTATTTTGAGATTTTGTGATATAGGGTGTGTTCTTTGTTTTTTGCCATTGTGTGTGATAGAACCGCTCTGAGCGTTAAATCTGGCCTTTATCAGATGTAAGGTCCTCATCTGGTGCACATCTGAGCTGTTCTCAGCATGCTTGCTATTTTAAGATCACTCCACAGAAATCATCTTGCAATGGCTGCTGGATCTCCTTGAGGGTGTCAAAATGGTGATCCTTTACCAGAGGTGTGATTATGTTTTGTATAACTCTTTTAAAATGGATTAAGATCTATAAACTTCAGCATAATTTTTAAGTGTTGCACATGACCAGTACATTTTCATATCATTTGGTTGTGCTAAAACACTACACTACAGCAGGCTGTTTAATCATCCTCTCCATTAAGAATATTTTGTTGTTGAGGTTTTTAAGGCAAGTAACTTCTAACCATGTCACATTAGCTTAATACTACTACTACCACCACCACCACCACCACCACCACCAACAACAACAACAACAACACAACAACAACAACAACAACAACAACAACAACAACAACGACGACAACACATTTTTATATATAGGTGCCTTTCAAAACCTCAAGGTCACCTGAGATTAGTACAGCAATTTAAAAAAAAAATACACAACTAAATGAGAAACTAGTAAAATCAGATAACAAAAGCATAAAATATGTTCAAAATAAAAGGAGACTAAGGCCAGTTGTCCACTATTTTTGGTGTGTGACTATTATGGTGAGAATGTCGGATAAAGCAACTAAGGCACCAGTTACATTTTTTTGAGTAAACTTATAAAACTCCTAGTGAGGGAGGCTGTCATTTACTTTTCCATTGAATTACGAAATTAATGCAAACTTCAGAGAAACCTCTATGCAGTTCATCATATCACTGTTTTTATGTAATATTTGTAATATTTTGACATTAACAACAACTTCACTGTGCACAGCTCTGGCTGGTCAAGACTCTGTGCTGGAATAAGAATAAAATTAGATCTTATTCTCTCATCCGTCTCTCTGTAGGAGTTATTGCTGTAGAGGAGCCAACTGTGGATGCCTTTCAACTGCTCTGCATGTGCTTTTTGATTCTAGTAATCATTTGTTTGTTTCCAGTTCCTGCATCTGAATCAGTAACATTTCACAAGCTTGTCATTCCTTTCTGCCGAGAAACAATTACACCGAGAGAAAGATAAGTACACTCTGACAGTGTGCACCCAAATAAGATGTTGCGAAACAGTAGTTTTAACCTTCCTAACCAATTCCCAGAAAAACAAAAACAAACAAGTTTAAATTCAAAAAGCAAAGAAAATGTGTCTTCGTAGCATAATGGTTTGTACATTTTCCTTAAAAGAGGAGGAGCCCTACATTGCTCCCGGGAGGAGGTACAAATCGCTTTTTCAGAACTAAACATGCTGAGGCAAAGGTTAAACATTCCATTATATTTATACAGTACCAAATCACAAGAACAGCTTTCTCAAGGTGCTTTACACTTTAAGGTAAAGTTCCTACACTAATATGTAAAATACTCTCTATTTTAAATTGACAAGTACAGCAAACAATTAACTGAGTCTTCTGTGTGAGAACCACAAAGAAAGACTTAGCAGTGTCAGCCAAGTCACTGAAACTACAGTCCCGTTTAATTCTCTTTTAATTATTTTTTCAGAAAGACTGTTTTTATCAATTCATTTCATTTAAAATTAATTATCATAAAATGATTAGCCTTCTGATACTTTACATGGATTGATGGGCACATATAGCATTAACCCATGTAGGTTGTCAGTAGCTAGATAACACACGACTCAGTACTTTCTAAACTTTGGAATTGTGTATTCAGGTAGATATTCGCAACAAATAAATATAAGAATCAGTCAATACCAAGAAATATTCACAAACAAATACCTTGGAATTGTTTTTGGACTACCTTACATGGATGGATGTGCTTTGATACTCAGAAGTGTTTTTCTTTTCCTTTTCTTTACCGTGAACCATATAGACGATATAACATCAGTTCAGTTTCCAGTATTTAATAATCATCTGTACAATCAGAACTTTCAATCATGGACATTCCACAGTGTCACGTCTTTGTTACTTCTTGGTAAAAAGCATAGCAGTACCAACTGGCAACTGATAACTGAACGCCTACATCGTTAGCATTTTTGCCGAGCTTATTCACTCATTACAAGAATGAACCTGTTGACTCCAAGGTCACTAATGGGGTTACCGGATGAAACAAAGCAGGCCTATATACAAAGCTTTATAAATTTGTGAACTGAAGGTGTAGAGTTTACACATGCTTAATATGTACACTCACTGAGCATTTCATTTGGTACACCCATGTACTTCGTCCTTAGCACAAATCTAATGACTGCAAATGAATGCATTGAGGCACGCGGACATGATCAAGACGACCTGCTGAAGTTCAAACTGAACGTCAGAATGGAGAAATAAGGTGATTTAAGATACTTTGAAAGTGGCATGATTGTTGGGCTGAGGATTTCAAAAGCTGCTGTATTTTAAACACTGTCAGGAACCCTGGGTGGAGCAGGAGGTGGGATTCAGTGTGTTCATGTTTAGTGTTTTCACTGTAAATAAATGCACCAGAGTGATATCCACTAATGTAGTCTCTCCAAACACTCGAGGGCAGGGAAGATCCAGGGAAGGTCTGTATGCGCAGTTATGGGGGGGTGGGCAAGGGAAACACACTAGTGTCCAGACCCAGGACTTTACTAATAGCATAATTCAACAATCCAGCAAATAATGAACCTCAGTCACCACATGAAGTAGTGGCCTCCTGATGAGCTCATCTGGAACAGGCGGTTGATTGGTGCAGACATGCTCTGACAGAGGCGGGAACCCACGATGAGTTCCACCCACAGACAGACAGATAAGCAAGACAAGCATAGAGAAAGAAGAGACACAGAGAGAAAACAAAGACGTGAGCAGGTCGCTCAAGAGGACTGAGGAACAGGATAGGTTCCACTGTGACTCTGAATTTAGGAAACAGAAGGCGAGCAAAAGAGAACGATGAGAGTGAGTTTCTTTTCAAAGATAAGCACAACTCAGCATGTGACATTTTATGATTATAAAATAGATATTTGATCTATGGAGTTTTGACTGAACTTTGTTTTGTCAGCTTGTCTTATACAACATTAAAAGACTTAAGCATTGCAACAAGCTGGTCTGTAAATCTGTGATGACTCTGTGTTTTTTTGCTGTATTATGAAAATGTTCTGGGTGAGTGTTACAGCATTAGAAATACTAAGATTAGATCAGTGTTACTCATAAAGCATGAAGCATTTGCAGTAGTTTAATATAGAACTACCTTTTAGCTGTTTCATATGAGTTTAAAACTAATAAAATGAGTGTTTGAGAAAAACAAAAATCATAAAATAGCAGCAAATGCAAGTTACAGTTATCCAGAGCTCAAAGCAGCATTATTACTGTGCTTGTTTTGTTTAATCAAAATTTAAATCTCAAACTTTTTTAAATAGTTTGAAATTAAAAAGAGACGTTTCAGTATCTGAAGCCATTTTTGGTATTGGCTAAAAAAAAACTATTATAGTAGTTTCAGAATATAATGTCTCTTAATTAGAAAACAATCATTTCTACCTCATATAACTGTATATGTGTTGATTGCATCTCATAGTAAAGTTTAAGTTATTTTTCTTTCTGTCTTGTAGTATCATATAGTTTGAGAAAGTAAAGCCTGACTCACTATCTAAAGACAAACCGTTTTTGCTACAACAGCAAAAACATACTGATACATAAGCTTGTCATGAACTGTTTGGTTGTGCCCATCAAATAGGAGTAAAATTACTAACCATTCCTCACCGTCGGTCCCCTGACCGTGGTCGGGAGATGCAAGGGGAGATTCTGTCACGGTCTGGCTGGCAGACCGTGGGGATGTGGGGAAGGAGGACCCAGGCGCGGAGCTCAAAGTTCAAGCAGTGCGTTTATTTACAGAGGGTGATATCAAACAACAATAAATCCCCGTGTTTTTCCCCAGACTCCCGTGTCGTGTCCTCCAAGTGCTCTCTGCTCCCGTGTCTGCACTCCCGGTGCTCGCTGCTCCTTAAGCCTTCCACGCTCCTGCGGGAAACAATAGCGGCAGCAGTCAGGACACTGAACAATGGCAGGCATACACTACACGACCAAAACCTAAACTGGGTAACTAACGTGGAGTCCCAAGCAATGATCCCGCGTCGGTGGGAGCTCCAAGACTCTCTTAAGTAGCTCCCCCGACGAGGCCTGATCAGCAGCAGGTGTGTGGCTTCGGGTGTGGCCAGTCCCCTTGCAGGGCCACACCCTCCAGGCCTGATGCCGCCTATAAACAAGTGCTCAGCCAGCCACCCCCACACACACACGCACACGCACAGAGAAGGGGAAGCAACACCAAAATACACAACAATAACACAGGTCCATGACTGCCCAGGGGTCCTGGGTCGCCCAGTCCCAGGACCCTGACAGTACCCCCCCTCTAAGGGTCGGCACCCGACGACCCAAACACAAACCAAAAACAACAGTACAACCAACCCAGGGCGGGCGGCGGGAGGTCCAGGACGGAGGGCCAGAACAAAAACGAGCAACAACCACCAAAGAAACAACCCCCCCAAGGTCACAGTCCCAAAATCCGACCGCGCATCCGGCAGCGGAGCAAAAAAGAAAAGACGCCACAAAACAGTCTCAGGCGGCCCATCAACAACAGTTCAGGAGTTCACAAGAGTTCAGGGGGCCTACCTCGAGTCCAATGGCGGCGACGTTGCAGCTCCGGCGGACGGCCACGGGTCCGGCAGCAGCAGAAAAACAGTTCTGGGGGCCTGCCACTGCTCCAGTGGCGGCGGCACTGCTGCCCCTCCGGTGGCGAGCCCCGGGCCCAGTAGCGGCGGCGCTGCTCCCCAGGCGGCCTGCCCGGGCTCCAGTGGCGGCGGCGTCGCAGCTCCGGCGGGCGGCCACGGGTCCGGTGGCGTCGCAGCTCCGGCGGGCGGCCACGGGTCCGGTGGCGGCGGCGTCGCAGCTCCGGCCTCAGCACAACCCACGATTCCCGATATGGCGGCCGGGCTGCTGGACGTGGCGGCCGGGCTGCTGGACGTGGCGGCCGGGCTGCTGGACGTGGCGGCCGGGCTGCTGGACGTGGCGGCCGGGCTGCTGGACGTGGCGGCCCCTCCGGCACGCCGACCTCCAGCTCTGGCTCCGCGGATCCCTCCGGACCTCCGAGCTCCTCCGGTGGCAGCGCGGGCTCACCAGGCTCGCTGAGCTCCCCTGCCGGCAACGCCGGTCCCTCCGGCTCGTTGAGGTTTGCTAGCAGCGGTGCGGGGTCCTCAGTGGGTGGCTCGCTGAGCTGCTCCGGCTCACTGTGCTCCTCCAGCATTAGCTCGCTGGGCTCCTCCCGCTCGCTGAGCTCCCGCTCGGGCATGCTGAGCTCCTCCGGCTCGCTGAGCTCCACAGCTGGCGACGCGGGCTCCTGCTCGGCCAGCGCGAGCTCCGGCTCCGGCTCGCTGAGCCGCAACTCGGCTGGCAGCGCGAGCTCCTCCGGCTCACTGAGCTCCTGCTCCGGCTCGCAGGGCTCCGCAGCTGGCAGTGAAAAAGAAATTAGGACGGTGGCTGCAGGCAGATGAGACGATGGCGGTGTTACAGCTGCAGATGGTGAAGAAGCAGCGTGTTAGGTATTTTAGTACCATGGTAGCATTTACTGGATATTGTTTTATAGTGACATTATGCAGGAAAACTCTGTCATTCAATAAGGCCCCTTTTGTTTTAGTTATTTTTCTCTTTGACCCAAGAATTGATGTGTGGGAATCACAGGCTGGTACAAGGTTGAAATACCACAGAGATCACTCCCTCAGCTACATTAGTTTCTTAATCTTTTAGACGCCTGTTGAAGGCCAAATGGTTTGTTTCAGATTTCACTAATGTAAGAACTCTTTGTTTTGTGCCTTGAAAATATGTCGCTGAGATAATCACAATTGTAGCTGAACTAATAAACTACACAAAGGATGCTTCTTCACCCAAGGGCAGGAAGACGCTGCCTTATCTTGGTCTGTACTGGTTTAAACTGATAATCTGCTGTCTCATGAATTTTACCCTCTATATAAACTGTTGTACTTGTGAATAAAGTTGAGTCACTTTGGGAAGACAATCTAAAGCAGTCTCTGTTTTCTTGTTCTCCTAAGCTGCTCCCGAGCTCGTACTAACACGCTGAATGGCATGCTTGAATATTGCTTGAGAATATATTTGACTGTGTTACAGACTAAGGGACATTCTCTGCTGATAGGTGAAGGTACATTCTCTGCTGATAGACGTCCACGCCTCGGAGGAAGCCGATCCACGGAGTAGGCCCTGGAAACAGTTTCCTTCACAGCGGGTGGTGTGGAGACCTCTGACCGAGGTGATGTTACCTGCGCCGTCAGCTCGTCCACTGCAGACAAAAACACAGATGGTGAGGGAAATGGAAAATTGTCCGTACTACTCACCACAGCCGGCTCTTGAGATGACCGTGGATGTGAGGAAAGCCGGCGGCGCGAACGTCGTTTCCGAGTAGACGTCGGGGCCGGCGTCTCAGGCTGTGAATCCACCAGCTGACCGGGCCGGTGAGCAGCCTGAACAGGAGGTGGAGCGTGTTAACCAGGAAGTCCGTGATGATCGGGTAGAGCGTATCCAGTACCCACGGGAAGCAAGACACCGTCTCTTTCAGCCGCTTCTCCACGGCGCGATGAAATCTTTCCTCGTGCGCCTCCAGCAAAAGGTCACAGAGTCTATAAACTTTATCCGTAACCTCCCTCCTGAATTTCTCCGATGAGTCCCGCTGGGTCCATGCCGGGCGGGATCATTCTGTCACGGTCTGGCTGGCAGACCGTGGGGATGTGGGGAAGGAGGACCCAGGCGCGGAGCTCAAAGTTCAAGCAGTGCGTTTATTTACAGAGGGTGATATCAAACAACAATAAATCCCCGTGTTTTTCCCCAGACTCCCGTGTCGTGTCCTCCAAGTGCTCTCTGCTCCCGTGTCTGCACTCCCGGTGCTCGCTGCTCCTTAAGCCTTCCACGCTCCTCCTGCGGGAAACAATAGCGGCAGTAGTCAGGACACTGAACAATGGCAGGCATACACTACACGACCAAAACCTAAACTGGGTAACTAACGTGGAGTCCCAAGCAATGATCCCGCGTCGGTGGGAGCTCCAAGACTCTCTTAAGTAGCTCCCCCGACGAGGCCTGATCAGCAGCAGGTGTGTGGCTTCGGGTGTGGCCAGTCCCCTTGCAGGGCCACACCCTCCAGGCCTGACGCCGCCTATAAACAAGTGCTCAGCCACCCACACACACACACACACATATACACAAGCACAGAGAAGGGGAAGCAACACCAAAATACACAACAATAACACAGGTCCATGACTGCCCAGGGGTCCTGGGTCGCCCAGTCCCAGGACCCTGACAGATACTTCCTCCAGGGCCGAAGTTTTGTCCTACTTTGGGGTTAAATCCCCCCACTTTTGTGGAGCAGTGAGGCAGGCAGAAATTAGCCAAGACACCTGAGATACTGAAGGGATGAGGCTTTAATAACGGTACTGCACATTCAAATACACACTGCATAGGCTGTAGCCCGTTAGAACGCTGCCCCCGTCACCGTCTCTACCCGCGACATTTTTTGCGCTCACAGCGTCTCCTCACGCGCATGCTCACACACACATCACCTACGGTCCTCACAGGACACCCAGCCACAAAAACGCGAGCAAATCCCACAACAAATGAATATCATCAAACATAGATCAGTTTAAATGTGCTTCACTATATAATGAATTTGCTGTTATTCATACATTTTTGTCATTATAAATTTTACTGCTTGATGTCACAGATGTAAATTCCAGTAAAGATCAGAATAATCCCACATGAAATCGCATTATTATCGCATTACTAAAAACAATATTCTTGTAATATAATAAAAACAGGACTAATTTAGAAATGTCAAACACGTTCATTTATTACACATGAAACAAATAAAACTGTTTCATTTTGTTTTACAAAAATTCCTCTAAAACAGAAATCAAATAAAAGCACATTTGTCTGGCTACATTTTTTGCTGACTGATTTAAGGCAGTTCTCATAAACTTTTTGTCAGTCTTAATTCAGAAACAACAGTCCTTGATACTAAAAGAACCTGTATGGTCTACATATGATAAATTCAACAAAAGAATTATTTGTTGCAATCACACTTCAAATTTGACTTTAATTTGGCCAATAATTTTTTTTGTCATTTGTGTAGAAAGTTCAATTTGGTCTAAATATTTGGATCAAATTGACAGTCTCAAAAGGTTGATTATGTTCTGGACTTAGCGTTGTCAGTGGGAGAAACGTTTCGTCACAGTGACTTGTTCAGTCTCAGCTGACTGCAGTCTTATAAACAGTACATTTGAATAATGACTGAAACCAGCCCACTGAAGGAACAATGGACTGGGAGGTCAGTTCCTTGATTATTAATATGCAAATTGTCATGACCAAATTGACAGTAATCAGTAACTAATTACTGATTATTTCCCCTCAAAAGTAATCCCATTACTTGAACTGACTTTTTAAAAACATGATTTACAACCTGAATAGGTGATAAAGCAATAGATCTTTCAGCCCAATTCTACTTTTTCTGCACAATCCATCATACAAAATGTAATCAAATGAAAAAGTCTCCTTTTAAAACTAGTTTTATTAGTTTTAATATTTTAACTTCATGCATCAAGCAAAAATTAAATTATATGCACCATTCTCTGACTGGAAGAAATTTGTTTAACATTTAAACCTATTTTCTGCACATTCCTGCACATAAAATAAAAAAATTTTTTGGTGTTTACACTCACTCTTTCAAATAGATGCAAGTAAAACACAGCAGAAAATAAATAAAAAGTGGGGTAGGCGGATGTTTGCCCTG